TCCTTTGATAAATTTGTCTTACTTCATCATTTTCATGTGTCAATATACAGTTGTAACAGTCAGGTGTATTCTTCTGGAATAAGTCTGCAATGGAAATTATTCTCCAGTCCGTCAGCAGTTAAGATTGATTATACACTGTAGCTGCGTACAATTTGGTGCATGTAAATGATTTTGAGTTAGAGAATCAGGCGAAACCAAGGAGTACTATACAGCCATTATGTCCTAGTTTGAGATCAAGCAAGGCATTACGTACCCACTGAAGCTCGAATCCAGGATTTCCTGATTATACGGCTAGCTTGTAGATCATTTAGCCGCTGAGATCCGAACCAACAGATTCAAGAATTCCAACTTTCCCAAGTCGTGATATATTGCACAACCCGTAGCCAATGTCACTGGCGAGCAGCTGTCCATCACCTAACTAGATGGATCCCACTGGTCCCGACTTCTCACTTCAAATAACTTCATCTATTGTGTCATTTGGTAGTAAGCATCAGATTACTTTTCAAGTTTTGGTTTACAAGGAAGGTCCTGAGCTCGAATCTAGGCGGGTGAATATCGGTGAAGGATTCGAAATTAGTACCCCAGTACTCTGTGGTTTTCCAAAGGGTGTTTTACTGATACCAAGTCATGAGTAAACCTATAAACTAATTAAATTCCTGGAAATTAACACTTGAAAATAATTTATTTTATTGAATATCAGTTAAAAATGTGTTGCAAGCTCATGTCGTAGGGTTGTGTTATACGATAAGAAGAGACGAATTATGAGTCAGTGTTTTTGCCACGTGATCTGCAAGCTTCAGACATATGATTAAAGACTGTACCGTTGAACTGTTATCGGCACATACTAACAAGTCAAATTATAGCTTAAGTACATTACAATAGTAATTTATTGGTCATGTGAAGTAAGTATACATAAATCTGGTTACTGCCAACTATATTTGAAATCCAGTATAAGCATTTCGTACTATTTAGGACTTGTCATCTGAGTGCACCCTGCAACAACCCGCCCTCCCAGTGAGTGGTGGTGTTCCCCTTGAGAGTCGAATCCTGGACACATTGTTGTAAAACCGCTAAAACATCATCCATTGTTCTCTGAAGGCCATGAGAGCTACCTCATGTGAAATGAAAATCAATTGGTATTCGGTCTTTGCTTAATTTCACAACTCTCGTTGACTGACTATTCTTAAACGACGACTAAGCTTCCGCACTAGGGGATGACATATCAAAAGACACTGAGTATTTCGGTCCAAAATAATTTCACCTAAAATTAGGCACACAATTAGTGATAATTAGTGGTCTTGCTGCTGCTTCTTCCTGGTGAAATAAATCTTGGCTTTCTCAACCTATATGCTCGCACTACTTTTATTTTTTTATTTTATTTTTGATTACAACTTGATTCCACACTGTATTTTTGGTACATGTATGGAATTTTCAGCATGGATATCGGTAGCCCAGATTTTGCAGGTCAACCATAGATATCAGGTGTGCGTCGGCAGGGGTTCGAACCTTGGACCATGTGCATGGTCGGCCAGAGTCCTAACCACTGTGCCACAGACGCACGAAATACTCCATCCGAAGACAGAGCTGAAAAAATGAGGCAAGACTCATTGTATTGTGCCTCCCCACGGAAATCTTTAGTAAAAGGCGAAAGATTTATTCGCAAATGAGAAGACATTAGAGTTATGCAAGTACAAAAACTCAACCACACCCTACTTAGCTCGTGTTCTGCACAATAAAGAAAGCATTAGACGTGAAACCTATAACTTATTAAATAGTCAGTAGAACAACTGGATCTCGTCTTCCCAACTCATATCATTTTTAGGTACAACGTTTTCTTTCTTTCTTTTCCTTTTCTCCCTTTTTCGTTATCTGCTGTTTTGTTTCTCTCTTCCTTACAAACTCTACTTAAAACATTCTTCTTCGTTCTCTCACACTCTGTATATCTCGACCTTTGTGTTACCGCTTACGTCAGTAAATATGCTAATATCTACTTTTCTAACACGTTCAAACACTCTGTTCAATTTTGGCTTTGCTACCGACCGACGTGCTAATATGTTGTTGTCAAAACTAACTGAGATTACCCTTAATCTATGTAGAATTTTATTTATTGTTAATGTACTAACTGGATGCAATATTGTAGCAAAATGCTGAGAATTCCATTCTGTATCACAAGTACTGTTTTGGAATAAAGCAAATTATTATTATATAAATATCTAGAAACAAATGGATGATGATGAACACGGCTACTGCGCATTGTGAAAGAAAGAGACTGTAAGGCAGACAACCCATAAAACCGATTATTTTATTTTAAATGAAGGCTGTATATTATTTTTAAAGAATCGTGAATTAAATAAATTGCATGAAGGATTTCATCATGAGCTGACATCAGTTAGAGAACCACTGGAAAACAACCTGGGAGTGTACTGGACAGCTGTCTCGTCCTAGTTTGGGACTCTTCAGAAGTACTCACCCACACCACGGGGTTTGAGCCCAGGACCCTCTGGTTACAAGACGAGCTTGTATACCATTCATCAGCCACTGGGACCCGATCCAATGGCCAGCTAGCCCATGAATTCTTGCTACTGTCGATTCGCGCCATAGCGCGACCATATCTTCTACGATGATTTAGTGCCTCATCTTCAATCTGCTGTACCCTACTGCTCACGACTTCCCACTAGAACCCCTGGTCACTGTCTGAATAGGCCCAGTTAAGTTATTCTGATGCTCATTAGCAACTTTAGTGACCAGTAGGGTACAGCAGGTTGAAGATGAGGCAGTAACTCATCGAAGAAGACATTGCGAAATGGTCGAGCCATGTCGTGAATTGGCAGAAGTTACTATTCATGGGCCATTGGGTCGAGTCTCAGTGGCTGATGAATGGCCTGCAAGCTCGCCCCGTAACCAGAAGTTCCTGAGTTCGAACCCCGCGATGTGGGTGCGTACTGCCGAAGAGTCTCAAACTAGGGCGAAACAGCTGGCTGTCTAGTATACTCCCAGCTAGTTTTCGAGTGGTTCTCTAACTGACATAAGCTCATGATGAAACTCTTCATCCAATTAAACAAAGTCCCTACAAACCCAATACTTAAAAATTAAACAAATGCCACAATATATATACGTTCATTTGTTCATGGATTTTGAAAACAATTGAAGCAAAGCAATTACACATCATCAGTAAACTAATGTAAGATGGTTGCATACAACCGGTAAGAAGTCATCTAGGACTCAGGTTTTATGCTTTATTACCAGTCATCAGAGCAAGGCTTATTATATCTTCAACCACAAAGGAACTGAAACGCCTTGGAGCTTTAGTAAATATTTTTATAAATGATCATTTATAGAGAGTGGGATGACGGAAGGGCACTACTAATTACATTCAAGCCACATAACTGTAACCTGTTCACTGTTCTTTTGTTTGGATAAATTAATTGTTAACGTGTTTCAAATGAAATATTTAGACATTTTATGAACCAAACATAAATAAAACGTGTTATATTTGAAAATCTAACTGAGGGTTGTTCAGTCATATCATACACAGTGTAACATTAGATGGTATCAAAAGACTAATGGCATTCACTTTTTTCATCATATTATTTTATCATTGAAAAATTGTACAACTATGATTTTGTATATCATACTGTTACTCTCAACAGATTGTAAGAACGCTTTATCAAGTCTTATTTGGACGAATCCTTATTTTAAAAAAATTACCTTTCCATTACAGTGACTTCTCGCACATCAAAATATTGGTGGATGGTGACAAGCAGTGGAATCCAGGATAACACGCATTTCGTCCGACTATATGGGACTCGTCAGCTAACTGGATGTACTTGCATTCCCCAGTGAGTCAGTGATTGATACTGTACCACCCACCGAGGCTCAAACCCAGTGTCCATAGTTTCAAACGTCTAAGCGTTATCCACTAGACCACTTGGATCACGAGAGCCACCTCTTGCTCCTTTGCAACGGGTCATGTTAATTATTTAACTGAATTTTTAGATTTTCATGTCGGTTGGATTGAACCGAAGTGCTCGGTCTCAAGTTCACATGTCGGCTTGTTAAATTAAATTAGTAATAACGTTTTAGCGTTTGAAACTATGGTCACTGGGTTCAAGCCTCGGTGGGAGGTACACTATCAATCACTGACTGACTGGGGAATGCATGTACATCCAGTAAGCTGACGAGTCCCATATAGTCGGATGAAATGCGCTTTACCCTGGATTTCATTGCTAGTCACCATCCACCAGTTAAATTGCACATCACTTAAACTTTCCAAAGAACTATTATACGTTCACAATATGCTTAAGAGATAGATTATTTATTGATAAATAGTAGGGGGGAGGGGAGTTTAAAAAGTCAGGGAAAAAAATTATTTCAAGTTAAACGTCATCAAACAAATTTAAAAAAAATAAAAGATAGGACAATTTAAGACTATGCAACTGCTTTACTATTGGTACAGACTTCAATTCCGACTGCTGACTAATTTATCACTTGCAGATGACACCTTCATTGAAAACTTTCCCTGCGTTATTTCGAACAGTAGTCTGAAATTTTCAGTTAGGTTTGGAATTAGTACTGATGAGGTAAAAAAAATATACTCTTCAAATGTCGGTTTGTAAGGAATCAATCGATTTCAAGGTAGATGATGCACTAATATCAGTTAGAGAACCATTGAAAACCAGAAAGTACTGGAAACCCTGTTCATCCCACGAAAGCCACCTCTTGCTCTTGTGCAACGGGTCATATTAATAAGATTTAATTGAATTTTTAGATTTTCCCGTCGATTGATTGGAGACCAAAGTGGTGTCGGTGTCAGGTTGACATGTCTGTTGGCTTCTTGTGCATATGTTAAGTCATATGGTCTAATATCTAGTAATAATTGCTTAAAATAACTTCAATTTATAATATCCACCTGCGTTTACTCAACTCTTTATATAAATAGAGAATTACATCATACAAAATAATGATGATAATAATAATAACCACAAAGTGAAACAGCTTACTTATGATGGATAATACTAAAGCGCCAATTATCATTACGAAAAACTGAAGTGTATCAGTGTAAAGAACAGCTGCTAATCCACCTGACAAAAACAACAATAGAGAAACAAAAACAACAATTAGAAGCAAAAATTATTACTTCATTTTTATCAGCTTTATTGTGTATAGATTTATAGACAGTAGGCCACGGAGACGAACTCTGCTCCCGTCAACTTTACTTTATTCACACAGTGACACCCCCTTTGAGTGGGTATTGGTTTTCAGGAGAACCAAACACACCCATCCCTGCCTCTTACGAGACGAGATGAGCATGCAGGATCATCCTGTGGCGGTTCAATCAGAAGTGTCATCATTGTGACATCTGATCAACACCTCTCACAACAACATCTCAACTGATTCATTCAAAGTGTCATTTACAAAGTCAACAAAAACTTACCAAAAGTAGTATGTTTCCGACTTCTGTGTACTGTAGAAGCCCTCGCAATATGCATCGAGTAGCCAGAGTTGTGTGTTCATCAGAAGAAATCAGTCCAACCTCTACAACTACTACCATGGACGACCTAGTTCGGTATGTTCCTTTAGCTTCTGATTTTTTTTCTTCTTTCGTTCTCTTTTTTCTTTTTTGATCTTTTTTCGTTTGCTGTGTGTGTGTGTGATTCTTACTCCCTCTGTCTCCATTCGATTCACCCCATTTTTTTCAGTTATAAAAACAGTTATTTTAAACTTTAGACTGAGATGACTACGGCAAACGTTATATGCTTGCATACCTAATCATCGCCTTTCGTAATGAGTTTTGCTGGCTGATATAGGTAGATTAGGTTGAATGGAAATGAGTTGTGGATGATCCAGTCGAAAAAAACAACACTGAAATCACTCCATAGTATGTGTGTCCTTGTTAGATGCTGCATGCTGTGTCTGGTAGGGAGTAGTTCTTGAAACATCTTGAAAATCAAGGCATGGAGACTATCGGAATAGCATAGCTGAAAATGCCGGTTTCTTTTAGTTGGATTACATTTCTTTTATTTCTTTTCGACCTTTATTTGTGCTCTTATAAAGTGGAGTAGTTTGACTCTATGAATTTTCATGCAAAGTTTCATAACGAATATTCAGTTCTACTTTAACCTCAGGCGACTGATTCAAGAGTATTATTAGCCCATGAATAGTAAGTATGGCTGATAGCTCAGTAGACATAAAACTCTACTTTAGATAAATGACCTCTTTTCTTTCATTCCTTCACGTTCCCAGTGGAACATAGGGATGGCTTCAAGCTGCAGGCTTGAAGTTTCGGTAGCAGTGGTGTTTATTCTTATGGGATGGAGTTGCTATCCTCACATGGCCTAACCTACGCTCTTTAGCAGTCTTACTACTACTGGCTTAGCGAGGTTAACAAGTGCATTGATGGCCGCGGATCGAACCCAGAACCACGTGAGGTGTGGTCGGCGGGTATTTTACTGCTGTGCTAGCAACGCAAACTTCTTGCGACCGCCGCTGAACCCCAACTACGTTCTAATTGTCTTCGAAATTCTGAGCAGAAGTTTTTATGCCATAAGAAAATATTACCGGTGAAAAACGATATAGGATGGATATTGGTCACTTTTTATTCGTATTGTTCCCTTGGGCTCCTAGTGAAACATACAGCTTCAACTACACGTCTCCACTTGCCACTTCTGTCTTCTGCTGTACTGTACTCTTCACCTGCATCCATGTTAGTCCATACTCTTTCAACTCCTCAATTCTTCACACGATCTCCTCCATGTCACCCTCGTATCGACGTCCCTCGCCGCTTCCCTTTCGGATTGGTTCCACTCGAGTGATGGCCTGAAGCGCGTGCAATGTCACCCAGCGGCGGCCACTTCAGCGAGTGTCCAATCCATCTCTTCACTTTCTCCTGCATATTTGCTGTTGGTTTGGCGATTGGTTCTTGTTTTGTTTGTTCCCATAGTTTCTCGTTGATGATTCTTTCCGGTCATCTGAAGACAGTTGTTGATGAAGATGTGGAACAGGCTGTTGGATATATTCTTTGTGACCCGCCAGCCCGCCAAGTTTCTGATCCGTATAGAAGAGCTGACTGACTTGACGTTGTTTGTATTGAAAATCCGACAGAATTTTGTTGTTGATGGTGAGTTGAGTGACGAAGATTTCCAGATTGATTGCAGGTTGACGAATGTGTGTGTTTCTCGCCTTCCCGATTCTCGCTCGATTGGACATCCTCGTCCGTTCCAACTGCCTGTAGTTGCGAGACAATGCTCCCTAGATGATAAGTGAATGAAGTAGCCTCTTCCAAATCCCTCCCGCTGATGGTGATTGGCGCTGGATGTTGTTGTTGTTGTTTGGTTGGTTATTTTCATAACCTCTGTCTTGTCTATGTTCACCTGGAGTCCTGTCTTCGCTGGCTGTTTCTTCGACCAGTTTGTCGGTTTTCGCTTGTAAGTCTTCAATTTTGTGTGACATCAAGCATAAATCATCCACGCTCGAAATCCAGGTCTTCTAGGTTCTTCACGTCGATCCAGGATATCCCTGTCTTCGCGTTTCCCACTCACTGTCTGACGCATAATCCAGTTCACCACAATTAGATGGACTGAATTGTTTATATATGTATATATATATATATATATATATATATATATATATATATATATATATATATATATGATAAAAACATTTAAGTGGTTCACTTAGTCATTCAGTCAAATTAGACATCTTGACCGAGTTGAATACTTCTCACGAGTAAGTTTGCAGAGATTTGATTTTTTACTGATCTGATCACGAGCGGATATCAACTAGAGAACCATTGGAAAACCAAGGAGCACTAGACAGCTGTTTCACTCTAGCTTTTGACTCTTCATCAGTACCCACCCACCAGAGTTCAAACCCAAGACGTTATAGTTACAGAGCAAGCTTTTAGAGTAATCAGTGAGTCATGGGGATTCACGTCAACTTCTGCTAACTCATGATACATTGCGAAACAGTTTAATTTTACAAATTTCTCATCAAAGTAGTTCACTACTTAATTCCGTTCAGATCAACGACTTTTCAGATCATACCTACTCCTAAATACACAAACACACACACACAGGCCTATGCTCATAAGACTTTTAATTCAATGCCAATATCATTAATGTTTTTAAGTTATATTAGAATCTATGAAAAAAAATTAAAAACTAAGGTAATTCAGTGGGTGAAGAAAACTCTCTTTGTGAATTTGTACTTTCTCTAGCTGTCCAACTCCAGATTTACACACGATTTTTGTTTTTTGTGTTTTATTTTGTTTCCCAAAAGGAGGATAAGTAACCAAAAAGGGAGAGAGAGAGAGAGAGATACCAGTGTCATAGCTGCTAATTTGAATCAATATATATAAAAGAGGAGAGTTGAACAAGGATAAAAAGGATTATGTCATAAGAAGATTTCCAATTTTCGCCAAAAACAAAAAAGAAAAAGAAAAGAAAAAGACAACACATATAGATGTAACTTTACAAAATTGGCTTGCTAATTTCTTTACAACTTTCACATTTGTGCATAAGTCTTTGTAGCATTTGCTAATAGTATAGGACCAGTAAAAAAAAACAGACAGTGTGCTACTGAAATCTGATCGGAAAAAGAGTAATTATTATTATTTCCTTTAATGCCTAGAGGAACATAGGGCTTCAGTCACGCACGTCTCCAGTGCGTTCAGTTCTCTGTCAACGTTTTCACCTGGCTCCAGGTCTGCCCATATGCTTTCCTCTTCTACTCTTCACATGACCTCCTCTACAAGTCACCCGCACGCTGACGACCAACTCGCCGCTTCCCTTTCGGGTTCCACTCGAGCGATGGCTTGTCTAGTGATGTCACTTGATGGTTTGCTTCCTCAGAGTATGGCCAATCTAATTCACCTACATTTCTTCCTGCCTATTTGTTTCACAATCGGCTCCTGTTGGGTTGGTTCGCACCCAGAGATCCCTGTTGTTGATACTTTCTGGCCGGCCATCTGATCTTGAGTATTGAGTGGAGACAGCTGTTGATGAAGGTCTGTAGTTTGTTTGAAGTGCTCTTTATGACACACCAAGTCTTTGATCCGTATAGTAGCGCTGACTTCACATTGGAGTTAAAAATCCAGGTCTTATTTTTCATGCTGAGTGCTGTTGACCTCCACACAGACTTGAGAGTAATGAAAGCTCGCCTTGCTTTCCCAATCCTACCCACTTTGATATCCTCGTCAGTTCCGCTTGTAGTTGAAATGATGCTTCCCAGGTAGGCAGGTAAAGGAGGTTGTTTCCTTCAGATTCCTCCCATTTATGCTGAGTGTTGTCTGTTGTTGTTGTTGCTGTTGGTGGTGTTGGCCAGAAATCTTCATCACCTCTGTTTTCTATATGTTCACTTTAAGTCCTATCTTCTCTGGATGCATCTTCTACCAACTTGTTGCTTTTCACTTGCATATCTTCCAGTTTGTGGGAAATCAGACATATATCATCGGCGAAGTCCAGATCCTGTAAGTTTTTTATGTGAGTCCATTTTATGCCTGTTTCTTCGCTGCCCGCTATCTGTCACATTATACAGTCTGCCACAATCAGGAAGATCATTGGCGGTAGTAGACAGCCTTGTCTTACTCCCGTCTTTACTTCGAAGGATACTGTAAGTTTCCCGTTGTGGAAAAAGAGTAATATCCCTTTTCAACACCTACCTGTTAGTTGATTCGGTGACACATCGGCGGTGATAGCATTTGAAAGTTACTACCGCTTTACATTTTTGTTTTTACACCTGTACGTTGCCAGTGCACCACAGAGAGGGCTTCAAGCGAGAGGCTTGAAGTTTCAGTAGCAGTGGCGTTTATTTTTACGGGATGAGGTTGCTAGCCTCACCTGGCCTAACCTACGCTCTTTACAAGTCTTACTACTACTGGCTTAGCGAGGTTACGGAGTGAGTCGATAGCCGAAAGTCGAACCATAAACCACGTGAGGCGTAGTCGAAAAACATTTTATCATTGTGCCATCGACTCACCCTGCTTTAAATGTGTTCACAATAAATTTACATGCTTTCAGGGATTATGATCGGAATCAGGTATTTAACAGATTAACTCCACTGATTTATCGAATATCAATTTTAT